ACTGGGCCATACTATGCATAAGTGCAAACCTTAATTTAAAAAGTAGGTGCATTGGATCAAATTCAGCTCACAGGTAAAGAGGAAAAAGGATATTATGGCAAAGGCATCGGACTCAATAGATTTTCAGTTCCCAGCTCTGACAAAGATTTCCCATTTGATTTTGAGAAAGAAGCTTAATCTCTCACCCCACCTATAAAACAGGAATACTGTTACTTCCCTCTCTCATAGAGGTGTTGTGAAAATGGGGATAATACTACTTTCCTCTCTCATGGGGGTTTTGTGAGGGTAAGTGCATTAATGTTTATGAGGGCTCAGATAGCACGGTGAGGTGGGCCACTTAAGGACCTAGAGAAAAGAATATTTTTACAAAAAATATTTACATATTTTTCTTAAGGAAAGGGAATATCTAGGATTCCCCAGAAACAAAAACTGTATGAGGAAAAATTTCTTCTATTTTGGGCATTTGTAGATAAGAACGTCAGGAAAGAGACGGGGGGGGAAAGACTTGCTCATTGTCTTGCCTGTGAATGTAGTTTAAAATGAAAGTGACCGCTGGGTCATTAGGAAAATGGGAACAACTTGAATCTCTTCATTAAGAACACTGCTCAGAAATGCTGATTCCAAAACTGCTCTGCCCATTAGCCTTCAGGAAGCCAATGGACTATTTTGAAACTGCTCCTTCGTCAGTAAACTTCTGATTAACCCAGACCTTCAGGAAAAGAAAAGAGCTCCTGAGGAAACTGCAGTTGCTTCTCTGAGACCATGAATACTGGAGACTGTATTTGTTGCATTTCCTTAGCTTCCAGATACCAGAGAGCTTTCCTCAGCTGCACACCATCAAGCACGTACATCTTGCAAGATGCTTAGCAGGAGATATAAGGTCTCATCTGGCATTTTCTGTAATTTTTGAAAGGGTACTTTCTCTAAAATGTAATGAGGCAGCTCTCTGTAGACTAGAGGCATCTTGACTGACACCATACATCAGGGGAACTGACATATCACAATAAGTGAATAAAAAAGACACTTGTATCTATAGATGTTCATACCTATCCAGTGGGGCTCAATATCTGATACATCAATATATGTTCTTATCTAATGAGCATATGATTCAGTTTATGCCTAAATTCAGCTCCATCCCATGCAAATCTACTGTCTATAATCATAATTAGCTGATCAAAAGTGCTAAAGTTTTCACACATAATAGAAAATGTTATATATTTATACACGTTAAGGAAATTAACCCTGCCAAATTTCAAGCTTCCTGTTCTCTTCTTTGTTGTAGCATTCCATTTTTTGTCTTTTAAAGGCCAGAGAGTTATACTGCATTTTGAGTGCTATAATGATGCTAAACTCTTTCCTCAATAGAAATACAGTAGTAGACGCTTGCCATAAGTCTTTCAGTTATGACTTTTTTTTTTTTAACATTTATTGATTTACTTAGGTACCTAATTCAGTAAGAACCTGATTTAAAGCCTATTGAAGTCAATAGCAGTCTTTCCAGTAACTTCAATAGATTTTGGATCAGGCCCTAAAAGCCCATTATGGAAAAAGATAAGCCAGTCAATGCACTGTACCAAAGGTTGCAATTAAAACCATGGCATTTGCAGTATTCTACATACAGAGAGTACTCAGATACCATGATACATGGATCTGTTTATAAAGGCAATGGCTTACAACTGCTTCCTTGAGTAAAAACTGCCCAAAATCGGTGGATTACATTGCTCAGTAAATACTCAAAAATATGAGGTGAAATGTTAAGAAATTAATGGGCTGCATTGGTTAATCTAATACACCTCAATTAAATTAACAAATGAATTATTTAAGGAAAGAGGAACCAAGCAGAATGAACAGATACAAAAATTCTTTGATGTAACTGTAATAACAGTATGTATACTGCCTATAACGGACAACCGGTATAACCCTAACACTGTTGCATTCCTTTACCTGGTATATCTGATTACCTCTCTTTTGAGAAAACAACTTGCACTGTCAACAGGTCTGCTTTATCTAAAAGAAAGAATTAGAAACTAGAAAAATGGGTTCTGGATTCTATATACTGTATATTAGTGAAATATAGACAATGAGCAGGGCAATAGGAATCTGCTTTACATGAGCTCAACCAAGCCGATAGCATTTTCATCTTTATGCAAATTTTGCTGTATTCTCCCCAATCTATTCATTAATTTTTTTAATCTTCATGTTTCTGCTTTCTACTAAGAAAGATCTCGTGAGTCAGTACGTGGCATTCTTCCTTATGAGTCAGTACTCAATACAGCAGGCATAATAGTCAAGATGAAATTAAAAACACTCAATTTGCCTTTTTGGAGCTTGCAGTGCTTCCTTGAACATACAGTGGTAGTTAATGAAAAGTGTTTATATCAGTGAAATATATTGCAGCCACAGAAGCCATGCAGGCACATGGGGCTGTAAGGGATAGGCAATATGAGAAACGGACTTGCTAAAGGCCCTGGATGGGATAGCCGGCCACCAGTATTCCACTCACTAATGCAGAGCTGGGCATGAAGGATTGCTAGAGTGAGATGGGCATAAGAAAGGGGACATATTGCAGTAGTTGTCAGTAGTCACCAAAAGACTACGCTTACTTCTTTCTATGAATTTATGAATTGTCCATAAAACATTTAGGCTTATTTAGAATGTATTCACTATTCAAAATTCATTGTTCAAAACAAAATAGTCCTTTGTCTATATATTGTTTGCAAGCAGCTTGCTGTGAGTATTTGAAATTCAAGTTTTACTGGTTATTTTGATTAGTTCCCATTAGCTTTCAGAATTAGGTTTCTGCTGTAAATCCTATCACTCACTAATATAAAACTTGCTTTTCATAAACAATCCCCCTCATTCACTTAAAATTCACCATTTCTATGAATATTCCTGTCACACACTAAAAGCAAACACTAAACCTAGCAGAATCTGGTTTGCTTAAAGAGGTGACTCCATATCCACAGTCTGTGTAGTATTTTCCCTAGCTCTTAGGATATTCAACATGAATGGTTACTAAAAACGTGAGATGTAGCTCTCACGAGTGAAGTTTTCTGAGAGAATGAGTACAGCCCTCTTGAATGAATTTATTTTCTATACTTCTAGGAATTCCCTCCCAGATAATGGTGGAGCTCTTTCCTGGAATTATCAGCTTTTAAAGGAGGTTTGATAGTGAGTGGCATTGAGGGCCAGCCTCCAGAGTTCAGCAAATCCCTCTGACTTTCAACAAGAGCCAGTTCATTTTCAATTTCCTATCTTAAAAAATGGTGAGCCACCAGTTATACTGTACCTCTTTGTATCCCTCTCCCTAGCTCACAGAGTTTATAATGAAAGGTTCCACTTATGACCCTTCCCATGCAGAGGTAAATACCATACCAGGCTCTCTCTGAACCAGATCAGCTCAGACCATGTACATTCTTTTGCACCTGAGAACAGCCTTAAAGACAGTGAGCAGTACTATCTAAAACCCAAGGTCAAATGCAAGTAGTACAAGGTCAGCAGTCATGATATAAAATACAATTGCTTCTACACCCATGACTGACTGGTTACATTTGACAGCTCTCTGCTTCATGATACCATTAGACACAGGGAGTGTGAAATTCAGCATCAGTAACTCCAGCCGCTCATTATAGCTTTCTTTAATGTGCTATGTCAGAGCAGCTGTGAGAGCTGAATGATGTGGTAAGTTTGAAAGGATTCAATAATAAAGTATATGTAACAGTAACAGATTTTATTCTGTGCTTGCTAACTTCAACCTTAGCTATACTCTAAATCTGAAAACCTGGGAAGTTTGTTCTTTCTTTAACAGGAAAAGGCAGTTATTTTTTATATGTACTTTAGATAACTATCTTAAATGATCACTCAAAAATCAGTTGCTTAATACAGGTGACCTTTCAGTAAAAGTGGAGCAGAATATACCTAGGGCTATTTTTAGGATAAGTGCCTAATTATTGCACCCATTTTACAAATGAGTACATTAAGCCACAGAGAAGTTAAGTGACTTGTGCAGGGGCACAAGTTAGTTACAGGAATAGCTGAGCATATAATCCAGGCGACATAAGTGCTAATTCCCTACTTTAACCACTAGGCAGGACTTCCTGTCTACCTTCAGTCTGGCATATTCATTCCATTAGTTTCAGGAATTACTTCATAGTGTGATAAAAAGAGATTTAAGAAAATGGTGGGGGAGCCAACCAAAGAACTCTGACAAGCCTGTGGTAAGGGACCTCCAAGCATAGAGGTTATGCCAGAGAGCTATGCAGAGCCTGAAACCACAGAAAAAGAAAGGATACTGCTGCCAGTAACTCTCAGCTGGGAGGTGGAAGAGAAGTATCAAGGTAAAGATAACACTACCATCCCTCCAGCCTTAGAAATATAGTCTGAGATTTTCAAACATCACTTAAGAAATTTGGATGCAAAATTCCCATTAAAACAAATTGGAATTGGGCATCCAGATCCTCTAAACAGCTTTGAAAATCTCAGCCATATTATTTCAGGAACCCTGGAACCAAAGTGTGATGAAGCTAAACTAGCTGGCCAGAATATTTTTAAAAAAGGGAACCAGTAATCCAAGATTAGGTTAAAAGGTGTTGTACTGTAATTACAAGATAAATTCAGACAAACCAGACAAGAATTTAAGGCCAAATGCAGCATTCTATAATACCCATTCATGCCCATAGACTTCAATGGACTTGCACAAATATGACAGAGATCAGGATTGAGCCCTTACTATCTGGACCACTTACCTCTGTACACATTCACTGGTAAACAAATGCTGTATTATTGCATGATTGTGGAAGGAATTTAGGTTTGCATTTTCAGTGGTGTACACTAACTTAAAATGTTTAAATTTTGGGGTGGCTGATGTGACTCACCTCTGGGCCTGATTTTCAGGTCCCAAACACCTGTAGCTCCTCCTGGTATCAGCTGAAAAGGTATGCCTTCATACATATCCTTTTCCAAACAAATAATTAAAGAAGAAAAAAAAGTTGGGTACTCACTGATCTGGTTGGTCGATGCACTATAGAAAGCATTGACAGTGGTTGGACTAGTAAACCACCTGTAAAAATAGCAATAAACAGCAACAAAATATTGGTTGTCAGTGTGTTGGGCTTGTGAATGGAATAATCAAAGATAAAAGGCTAATTCAGTTAAATTAAACCAAGATATTAAAAGCCATTAGATACATTGCAAATGTAATTATTTCTGCAGTTTTGTCAATTGCGATCTGTGATTTTTGGATCATTTAAATCTATTTACTGACATTATTTTAAATGACTATAATCAAATAGTGCTTAACAGAGCAGTGACTGGAGGGTACAACTTGCTAACACTTATTTTATTTTTGTGTTCCTTTTAACGTGATTTTAGTGCTTATGAAAGATGCCAAATGGACAGCCTTGGACAATGAAGTCCTCTATTTAAAATGAACAGCTGCCACATAGACAGCAGCAATGCAAAGTCCTTTGCACTGTCTCAGCAATGTACTTCAACCCACTCAATGGAGAAACTACCTATAGAAATTAGAGGACTGAATTTAGAAATGAGTAGTCAAGGCTTTTCAGTCAGTGGCCTCTTTCCTGCAACCCCTGACAAAGTGACTACCCATGACTATTAGGATGATTTCAATTATATGGAGGTATCTCTAATAAGAACAAAGGAAAGAAAAATGATTTCCATAGGCCACTCAGCAACTACTGCTAATTATTTAATCATTAGTAAAGATTGCAATAGCTTTCAGCAACTATTAACCAATGGCCTAGAAGTGAAATATTCTGTACTGTAGGCTAGGTGACAATGCAAAGGACGAGGTTACAGGAACTCCTGAAATTCAAACCCAGCTTTTCCACTGATTCATTGAATGGTCTGGACTAGCAATTTAATCTTCCAGTTTCCCCACCTGTAAAATGAGTAATATATTTATTTACCTACTGTAGAGTCTGATCCAACCAACATGCACATGAGTAACATTACTCAAATAGTTAGTCCTATGGGAATACTCACTTGAGTAAAGTTACTTGTGTGTCACTGTGAGCAGGATTGGGCCTTTAAACAGGTAGGTTAGTTAATGCTGGAAGATGTAATATGCTAAGCATGATCTCCTACTGCCCCACCAACTCAGTGATCTTCTCACCCTCTAATGTCATTTATTAACAAAAGAGTTAGTTATTAACAAAAGTGAGGTTCATTGTGGTTACAAATATTGCACTGGTCTGCAAACAATGCACAAAAGAATTATCTTCAATTACTCATGTGTTTTCCTTGCTGCTCTTTGTGTTCCAAGCCATAAATGCATAGCTTGCAATGGAGAAACCAGAATATTGGAGCTTTTCCACTAATATTGTAACAGAACCTGCGCCGGCAAGATTTGAAGGATTTAATATTAACCCTGGCTGAACTTGTACTGCAATAAGATATGGATTAACACTTCACCTATTGAAGTTAATAGCAAAAGTCACATAGACTTTACTGGGACTAGAGTCAGACCCTCCCTGCAGGTGAAATTCTGCTTCTACTGAGGCCAATGAGAATTTTGCCATTGACTTCAATGGGGCCAGGATTTCACCTTAGGTTTTTATAATGAAAAAATTAAAATAAAATTAAGCATAAAAATAATGAGAATTAATGGGTAATTTGTGATAAATTAGGCCCAGGTGTAATAAATGTCTGTATGGAAAAATTCTTGAGTTATCACATGATGCTAGAATTTTTTCAGAATGTAAGATCAAAACTTTAGAAAGTTAAAGCAACAACTTCAGAAAGTTTCACTGAAAGTCAATAAGACTCAGGCTTCTTAAGTGCCTAATTCACTTTTGAAAATGAGGCTTTTCCATCTAAGTTACTTAAGCCTTGCAATTCTGAACAGAGTGATGCCTAAATACCTTTTAAAAATCTAGGCCTTACCATCTCTGTGCCTCACTGCCCCTATCTGTACAATGGCAATAATAGCACTTTCCAACTTCATGAGGATGTATGAGGGTAACACTATCTTTAATAGGGAGGTGCTTATATGGTAATGGAGACATAAAATGATGGAGAGATTAAAATCCCAGGTAACAGGATACATGCACAATAGAGATTAAAATATTAAAATGATTTTAAATGGGGGGACAAACTGGTATAGAAAACCAGTTAGTTCTGATTTTACTTACCTGCAAAAAGCAGAGTTCAGGGTTTCTCTTACTACAATTAATGACTTCACTATTATAGAAAACAGTATAAGGAATGTTATTTTCAAAGCATTAGTGATGCCATTCAAAGCAGCTATAAAAACGTTCAACTCTGAATTTAGGTTTTAGTACGCAAAAACCTTCTCAAGTTAAAAACAACAAATATTGAAAGATAAAAGTTGAGGAATCCCTTCTGAATTACTCTGCTTTAAAATATTTTCATTCCCCTTTAGAACGGTGAAATCTGAAAGTGAAATTTAGGAAGATTGATCAGGGTGCAGCATGTACACCTGACCCTGAAGTCCTTTCTTGGGTAAAACTCTCACTGAAGTTAGAATTTGCACCAATGTGACTACTGATGGAGGGTACCCTGACAAAAAGTTCAGAGGTTCCCTTTTGCTTGAATGCTCCTCCACACCTTAGCCATACAGTAAGTTCCTCGGCGCTTTTAAAACCAAGCTACACAGCCTCAGAGACCACCTCCTTAATTTCCAACAGTCTGATCCCTTCCCTGAGACCACCAAACACAACCCTTTCCCAGCACCCCACAGCCTTCCTAACCTATGTTTCATCACGAGCAAGTGAGACACTTGTGAGCTCACAAATACAATACACTCCAGCTAAAAGAGATGATCTAAAGCCGTGGTTTTCAACCTTTTCAGACTCAGGACCTATTTGTAAATGTTGATGGCCTAGTGTGATCCAGTATATAGGCTGGGGGAAGGGCGTTGGGGCCTGTCCCTGAGTGGGTTATGGCCTGTCACAACCCAGTAAATAGCTGGGGTGGGGGAGGGGATCAGGTCCTGCCCCAAGGGTGAGTAGGAGGTCATGGGAGAGGGGTTCAGGTTCTGCCACCAAAGAGGAGTGGGAGGGGAAGGCCTGTGGCAGAGCCCACCCCCCACTCACCACACAGCGGTTACTCCTGTGGCTCCTGAGCGCTGGCTGGGCTTGGCTCCTCACTCCAGGCATTGCAAGCTCATAGCACTACTCAGGTGTGGCCCTGCTGCCCTGACAGGGTCCAGCTGGGCCAAATTTTTGCAAGTGGCATTGCCACCTGCTGCTAAGGTTACCACCGTTGAAATGCAAAATAAAAAAGCACCCACCGCCAAAGAAGGCAAGCCACACCCTCAACCCCAAGCCAACTCTGCAACTCCCCCTCCTTCAACAGCCATGTCATAAATATAAAGGGAAGGGTAAACCCCTTTAAAATCCCTCCTAGCCAGGGGAAAGCTCCTCTCACCTGTAAAGGGTTAAGAAGCTAAAGGTAACCTCACTGGCACCTGACCAAAATGACCAATGAGGAGACAAGATACTTTCAAAAGCTGGGAGGAGGGAGAGAAACAAAGGGTCTGTGGCTCTGTCTATATGTTGTTTCTGCCGGGGATAGACCAGGAATGGAGTCTTAGAACTTTTAGTAAGTAATCTAGCTAGGTATGTGTTAGATTATGATTTCTTTAAATGGCTGAGAAAAGAATTGTGCTGAATAGAATAACTATTTCTGTCTGTGTATCTTTTTTGTAACTTAAGGTTTTGCCTAGAGGGGTTCTCTATATTTTGAATCTAATTATTCTATAAGGTATCTACCATCCTGATTTTACAGGGGGGATTTCTTTATTTCTATTTACTTCTATTTCTATTAAAAGTCTTCTTGTAAGAAAACTGAATGCTTTTTCATTGTTCTCAGATCCAAGGGTTTGGGTCTGTGATCACCTATGCAAATTAGTGAGGCTTTTTATCCAACATTTCCCTGGAAAGGGGGGTGCAAGTGTTGGGAGGATTGTTCATTGTTCTTAAGATCCAAGGGTCTGGGTCTATAGTCACCTAGGCAAATTGGTGAGGCTTTTTACCAAACCTTGTCCAGAAAGTGGGGTGCAAGGTTTTGGGAAGTATTTTGGGGGGAAAGACGTGTCCAAACAGCTCTTCCCCAGTAACCAGTATTTGTTTGGTGGCGGTAGCGGCCAATCCAAGGACAAAGGGTGGAATATTTTGTACCTTGGGGAAGTTTTGACCTAAGCTGCTAAAGATAAGCTTAGGAGGTTTTTCATGCAGGTCCCCACATCTGTACCCTAGCGTTCAGAGTGGGGAAGGAACCTTGACAAGCCACTTATAGGATGTAGAGAGAGAACACATATAGGTAAGATTAATAACTTTTTCTTACTTCCACTACAGAAGTGGGACCACTGCAACATCTTTAGCTGGACACAGAAACTTTTAACATTAGATATCAAAGTGTATTGTGATAATAATGCATATCTTTAGACCCATGTAAAAAAAACCCGGCAGATTAAATTAGTTTTTTGCCAACTGGCAAATCCATAAAAAAACCCAGCCAGGCTGGTCAAATACCAGGCAGAAACGCTTGTCTAAAGTACTGAGACACTGGAAGCAAGCAGCCACTTCTGGTCCAGCAGAGACTCTACTTAGCTGCATACATTTTCAAATATAAGGGGATAGGGCAAGAAGAGGCTGCAGGATTGGGTTGGGATCAAAGAAACATCTGCACTGGAAGTGGAGTCAAGTGACTGGATTGAGTGGGAGCAACAGAACAAAGGCACGTGGGGAGGAAGTAGGATGGAAAGAAGAAGGTAGAAGGTGAGATAATCAGAGCCTGGAAAATGTATGCTTTCAGTGACATTACTGTAAAACAAGCAACGGAATTAGTTATCTGTGGAGTTATAGTCTTAATGTGCTTTTGTTGGCAATTGCAAATCTTAGTTAAATTGTGCAATAAAGAATAGAATCTTAAAATGGCAGTGTACATTCCTTAATCAATACATTAATCAGCCTCCCTCTCTCATTTTATTTTCAGCATTGTGCTGCCTCGTTTACAATGCAGGAACCAGAGAATTAATCTATTGAAACATCAAAGACTGATGTCATAGGCATGTCT